AACTAATTGAAATTCTGCATAGTAAGTTATTCTGCTAATCTGGATATGACTGCTAGCTGAATTTTGAACCAGATGTACTTTGCAGGATGTTGCCCATAATCTCCAAGGTTTCTGTCTATGATGCTTCCAACTCTAATTGTACTGTATGCTGAGATAATCTAAGAATGCAAACCTTTCTTGATTAACCATGGCAAGTAAAAACTGGAGTAAAAAAACCCTTTATATTTTCAAGTTAAAGAAAAGAGCAGCTGTTAATCAAAATACTCAAAATATCCTTATGGAATATAACTGGAACTTGCAAGATTGTTTTAACTAAAAATGGCAATATATCTAGATCAAGGGTGTCAAACTTGATTTCATTGGGGGCCGCATCAAGGTTGTGTTTGACCTTGAGGGGGGCAGAGTGGGCGTGGCCATGGCCAGCTCAATGTCATTCATGTCGAAAGCGCCTATGGTAGCCCAAGTGCTCTGCCAGAGAAAACAGGCTCCTGAGCTCCATTTTCAGCTGCGACAGCCTCCTGCAACCCTCTGCCAGTGAAAACAGAGCTCAGGAGGACCTGTGTGCAGCTCTCCTGAGCTCTGTTTTCGCTGGCAGAGGCACCATGGGCTGCTCCTTCACTGTTTCCAGGGCGGCCCTGTGGGCCAGATCTAAGCACCCCACAGGGGTGTTTGACACCCCTGATCTAGATAATCTGTTGTAAAGTTTTTCATATATTTCAACTGTAAATTAATCTGATCTTAAATTAAATCCATTAGAGATAGATAGGGATTGCCGATACTCTGAGAAATCACCATTGTTGTTATGTCCTTGTTTCAATGAACTTGGCACCACATATATGATTACAAGAATTTCTCTAGGACCGTCGTCTGCAACCTTTTGGGCACCAGGAAACGATTCCGTGGAGAGAATTTTTCTGTGGACTGGAAGGGGCGTGGTTTCATATGCTGCCTGCATCCTGCAGATGGGGGATTGTTTACATATCCCGGTTTCTGGCATGCTACGGACCAGTGCAGGTCCACAGATCAGCAGTTGGGGACCACTGCTCTAGGAAGTATTATAAAATAATTCTTTATTGTTACCTAATTCAGTTTGAATGAGCTCTCTCCTTCATTGTTCTGCAGTATGAAAAAGTCTTAAAAGTCTTACTTCACTTTGCTTTTGCTTCCTGTCTTGAGAGATCAGTGAGCAATCATTTGAAGCTTGTCTTCCCAAAATTAAGTTTTCTTAATGCATTGTTTTTTTCCTCCACCCCAATTATTCATCCTCCTGTTTTTATCAGGCATATCAGGTTATTGAGAAGGGCAATGGATGATAGATTCACTGAAAATACTGAGATTAATCCAAATTTCTTTTCCTGACTGATATCCAGTTTTGAATGTGTTCTAAGCTTTTCTAGCTTCAGTAGTTTGTATTTTTAAACAAAAAAATAGTTTTCCATACAAAAGGTAAGGAAACTGGGGCAAACAGGAAGAAAGAATAATTAGAGACTGTGTTACACAAAGGCTGTGATACTGTATGTATCCCTGGTTGGTCTGAACAGCTGAATCTTCTCTGTACCGTAATTTAAGTTAACTTGATAGTGGCAAGATATTTTGCCCAGTCAGCAACTGATGCTACCAAATCTTCCTGAAAGCATAGGATAGGCTCATCTCAGAAAGCAACTCTAACCTTAAATTCACCGACTTTCCCTTAGTTCAGGGAATAGCCAGCCATTATGCTATTGCTATAGAAAGAGTCTTCATACAGGCTTTGCCTGAACTGGGCCATTTGTGCTCCACCGTATGAAATTCCAAAGAGAATGAAAAAAACTTCCTTGGCTTCTATATATGACTTTGTAGTTGAAAAAGCTAAAAGAAACAAGGAATAGAGTAGGATGAGAATAGGTAATAAGTATTAAGAGAAGTAAAAATAAACATGTAAATATATACATATTACAATAAGATTTTCGTATTTAATTTAAGATACCCCAGTTAAAAAATGTTTGCTGGAAGTGCTTGCAGAAATAATAACCAAAATAATGCATGCTAACTTTTTAAAGTAGGATTCTAAATACATGTGTCTTAAGAATCCAGTTCTGTTTTGCATTCATCTGTTATGCTGGTTTATAATTATAATAAATATTTGATTTGATTGGCATTAATCCTTGATTTTTTTATGTCTTAATGAGTCTTCAGTGAATTAACTACCTCTTGCAGTGGAACTATTGTACTGAAAAAGTCAAGTATTGTTAATTGTGGTAGTTTTTTTTTTAACAGAAGGATTATATAACTATTTCCTTGAAAACACCATCACCACCAAGTACAGAAAATCCAAATTCAATGTGAAGTGGAAATAATAAAATGAAAATTTCTTGAGACTTTTAATACTGTTCTATTCAGAAGTGGAAATGATCGAACATTCATAGGAATGAATAAAAGAGTCAAACAAAGGCAGCCATATTGTTTCCTCTTGAAATTAATAGGAATATATTACATCTCAATGCAAATGCGTACAATATTATCAGTGAATAAAATCATATTTCTTTTAATTCCTAAAATGGTGATAGATAAATCTTAGTAAATATTAGCAATTTCTCATTATCTCAACTCTAAAATGGATCTATTTAATTGTTCCATGTACCCTTGTATTTTACTTTGACTCTTTCTGTATTAAACATAGCAAATCAGATTATTTGATTAATTTGTTGCTATTTCTGATGTATTGGGTTGGGCTGTATAATTAAATCTAATAAATTATAATACTGCTAGGTGTTTAAAATATTTTTTGAATATGTTCATCCTTGCTTGTTTGGCATTTTCTGTGACAAGTATTGCATATAAGCTTTTCTGCTGTTGCTATGCAACTGTTAAATCTAATATTTAATATTAATATACACCAAGCGTCATTACCATTGCTAGAACAGTGAACAAAGCAAGCCAGATTGTATACTTTATATAATCCATTTCAGAAGCACTGTGAATGCTTATTTACTTGCATAAAGATTCTATGTGATAGGAATTAATGACCATTATTTAAAAGATTTCTTTTTAGAGACCATCCTGTATAAGTTAAAATGAGCAAGTTTTTAACATATCACATTTTAGCTGCATTTACCTGCATTTTTAATAGGAAATATTTAAAGTGTTGTGATTTCTTAAATTTTATTTCTTTTTCGGTAGTCTAAATTCTGTCAGCTTTTACTTTTCTAAAAACATTTTTTTTAATGTAATTTATACTAATAAGTAATATACAAAGCATCCATGTTTCTGGACATTTCTATTGTGAATTAGAGATGTGTCAGTTTCATTTAAAAGATAGAGCTCTTTTAAGATTAAATAAAACAAGGCTAAGACACCATCTACATTCCAAAATTTGGGTTTATTAACTGTGTGTATAAGTGTTCTTTTCAATTCCTTATTTTTCTATTGTTTAATTTGTATTTTATCTCTCCTATACTTTTGCCATTTCTTCGTAATTTTGTCATTACACTATAGATTAAAATGTCAACTTTATTCCAGCATAGTTTTTTGACTATCTTAGTAAATACTTTAAGATATTATGATGATGATGCTGTCCATTCAATCATGCTTGAGTCTTGAAGGTTTTATGGATTAGCTGTTTCCAATATTTCAGTTATAATTTATATTTTATGCTCTGACTGGTGTTGGCTTTAATATCTAGGCACCATGTTTTTTGAGTGGCCTCCTTTTAGTGTTGACAATTCCAAGCATAAGCCTTTTCCAGTGGGTTTGATTGCTTGATATAGCTAAAATAAGTAAGGTGGAATTTTGTGGTTTTGCCTTCCAGCTATACATGTGGTTTTATGTGCTCTTGCACTTTCTGGATCTACTTAATTATTACGCCTCAAAATTTCCACTATGACTCTTGATAATATTTATTACATATTTATTATTAAATGAGCATTGGACTACTTCTGCATACCAGAAGTAATTTTCTCTTCCAGAGTTAAATAGTCCATCACTCATTATGTACTGTATTTTATGGACTATAAGATGCACCAAGATTTTGAAGAGGTAAATTAAAAAAAAACATTTTTGCCCTCCCCGGCCCCTTTTTGTTAAAACGGGGCATGCAGAGAGTGTGGGAGGCCTGTAGAGTGCTCCTGGAGGCTGGGGAGGATAAAAACGGCCCTGTTTTGTGAAAAACGGGCCCATTTTTTGCTTCTTTTTGCTCTACCCAGCCCCCAGGAGCACTTTGCAGGTCTCCAAACCCTCTGCGTCCATTTTTGTGAAAAACTGGATGCGCGGGGCGAGGTTTCAGGAGGTCAAAAATACTGTATTCCATAAATAAGACGCACCTAGATTTTCACCGTCTTTTTTGGGGCGGGAGGAGAAAGGTGCTTCCTAAACTCCAAAAAATACGATAGTATGGGTAAAGAAATAATTTATTCCTTGAATTATTTTGAAATAAAATGTGAAATCTCTACTGTTCAGTACAGATATTGTACAGCAGAAGTGTTTATGTGAAATATCTTTACATATAAATGGTAAATAGATTACCTCAGTGGAATTTGTGCTTGTTACAATGCAGTATATTTTCTATATCCCTTATATTCTGAGAAGCTGATAAATAGGTATGCTGTTTCTTTAGCTGCAAGCCAAAAGTACACTAATTATATTCACAAATATGGCACTAATTTTGGGGGAGGGAGAGGTGTAATATTTGAAATAGGAATTGTGAAAAAACTGTAAATACCTAAGTAATAATTAAGCATCTACAGAGTAAACACATTCCATATTTGGCTTCAGATTAACCTCAGTGGCTTTCCTTGTCAAATTAGTTACAAAGCTTAAAAGTAGACTCTGGGAGATAAATACATTTTTGAATTCATAATCTTAAGTGAGTACTTATTTTTAATGTTGGAATCATTTAATTGAATTCTATTTAAATAGAACTTTTTCCCATTTTTAAACTGTTTTGCTTCATTTTCACTATGCGGCATTTATATAATTATGTGTCTCTTTGTACATGTTTTAACTCATTTTGATAAGATTGACCAAAAAATATAGAATACATAATAAAAGCACATTCAGATTTATTCTAATAACAGATACATGTAGAATTGTCAATATTCTGGCACTGATATATATATATACATATAATTTGAGGAAATTAAACATTCTTTCTTTAATTTTAGGATTTGAAAGTATTCTAGAAGGGCTGTTTGGAGCTGAATTATTAAAAGATCTGAATTTGCTTAAAGGTATTATATATAAAGTATATTTATATATATATATTGCCTTGATCTGCATCTTTAATGACAAACTCAACCTCTGCTCTGTCTCTAGAAAATGTATGTTACCTTGGTGATTTGTGCTTTTTTCCCCTCCCCCAGGCAGTGCTCACAGTTAGTTTCATATTGGCTAAAATTACTAATGAGCATAACTGGCAGTGGTTTTGGTGTTGCTTAGGAAAATTAGCTTTGTGTGTAGGCGAAAATTATACTTTTGTAACATTGTGGAAAAGAAAAGCATGGTAGCATTCAAACTAGCATTGCTCATATAGCATCAAGCGTCTTATAAAACGGGTAGAGAATTAGGAATGAATTTTAACCATTCAAAAGTTGCATCTTTATAGATGTGAAATAACTTTTTCTTCTTATTCACAGACTTTGAACCTGAAGGTGTCTCTGATTGGTCTTTTGATGAAAATTGTCTTTTCTGCTGTTTGAGAAGAGAAAAAGTGAAGGTAACAATGCAATAAAGATAAACTTTGGCAAAGATTTGGGATTACATTTAGCTTTGTTTTTGGGAAAACATAATCGGAAGGTGGTTCTGCTGCTCCTTATTCACCTCTTCAAAGCAGGAGAATATTGAACAAAGTAAGCAATATTGATTAGGTGAAGTGTTTTCTCAAAGTGGGTTTTTCCCCATTTGCTTTCATTTTAAAAATTATCTGTAGTAATACAGGACAATTGTATTCTTATTGTACCTGAGACTGCAGATGACACTAAATGTTTTGTGGCTACTAGCTGTGAGGTGCAATATGTAAAGTACAGATGAAGCATGCAGCTCTCACGGCAATTATTATACAAATAATTCTACCTGTGCTCGCACTTTGTGGAGATTCTTTTTCCATGGTGGTACCTTTTAACCATATATGCCATGCAGTTATTTCATGGCTTAAAGAGAAGGCTGCATGTATTGGTCTCCCCCAATAGATGCAGCCTTTTTTCCCTGTCCTGCAGTATTATAATTCTCTGTTCTAGTATTTCCTTAGATAAGAAAATAGTAGCTATAGCTACTTAAAGCCAGACTGCCTAATACATATAAAATTATTTATAGTTCTGCTCTGTGTTTTCTTAATGTATTGACTGGTGTACTACGTTTTTATTTTATTCTCATTATCTTTATATATTATGCTCTTGTAAGTAAGCTATGAGATACTACATTTATTGGAATGATTGTTGCATTTCTGATGTATTTCATTCATACAATGTAAATGCCTCTACTTGTTTTTTTAAATCATAATTACAGTAGGGAGTAGAGCTATAAAGGTCAACAAGAATTTCATGGTAAATGATGCAAGAAATATCAGTAAAACTGATTTTAAATATAGGAATCGGTTAGATTTTGACATATTATTATTCTGTTGTTTGTATTTTTTATGTGTTTTAAATTTGTCACTTCAGAGTAGTTGATACTGAATATGGGAGATGTTTAGCACATTTGCAGATTTGAACCAGCATTGTCTTCTTATTTTTGATGTTGCTGAAATACAATTCCTACTATCCCTTTCCATTGACTAAGATTGCTAGGACATATTTCAATAATATGTCAGGGACTATTAGTATTGATCTTACTGAAATCGCTGAGTTTTGTTTTATTTGATCACTAGATCTATATATTACCTTAATTCCAAAATAAGGATATGTTTTGTATTTTTAAATTTATGCTAAATAGCATAATGTAAATGACCCACCTCAATACATAATTCCTCAGACTTTTTGGGTAATTTTTAAAACTTTGTTAAAAATATTTACAGCCATAACATGTTGCACTGGGATAAGAGCTAATTAGACTTTTTAAAAATACAATATTTAGGAGGAATAGGGGCTGTATTAATAGAAAAGCAGCTACTTTTGTTTGAATGTAGGTGAAACAAAAAAAACCCAAATAGGGAATATAATTCTATGCAAAGGTTTTGGGCATCCCAGATCAAATGAATGTTTCAATGAATTCTGAGTAAACAGAAGCTGATATAATCTCGGTTACAAACTGAAACCTCACATCTTTTTGTAAATCTGAATGCACATGTGCTATTCATGTCCATCTGTTTGTAGTGGTTCTCAACCTGTGAGTTGGGACCTCTTTGGGAGTCGAATGACCCTTTCACAGGGGTCGCCTAAGACCATTGGAAAACACATATTTTCGATGGTCTTAGGAACTGACACCAATTTTATGGTTGGGGGTCACCACAACATGTGGAACTGTATTAAAGTGTCGCGACATTGGGAAGGTTGAGAACCACTGGTTTACAGATTCAGAATAAGAATATAGCAAAAGTGGATTAGGGTTAGGATCCCTAGATTTGAATATTATTGAAAATGTGTGCAGAGATGTGAGATGAGCAATACATTCAGGAAGATGTAATTATTGTTGAGCTAGATGAGTTCTATAAGGAAATAAGGAAAAAATTGTAAGAGGAAGAATAGATTAGTTGGCTACAGAAATCCTAAAGATCTGCCAAAGCAAAATACTGACTGAAAGGTTTTCCAAATTTTGGTATCAGTCTTATTCACTGCTTCATTACTTCATCATCTACACTATATAGGGCTTGAAAGATAATGAGAACTTTGCATTTTGTTTAAAACAAGTTGGTGCCTGGTATGGTGCTTTAAGCACAAATATTCACATTTTTCTCTATACCAACATAATTGCTGAGTTTTATACCAACTAAGTTTCCAACTCAAAGGCATCTACATGTAGAGGATATTATTGTAGTCAAGCCTTGATTTTACCAACTTGTGTACCACAGTTTAATTATTTTTTAGATAGCAATGTAGCTGGCATAGCAACCAAAGCAGAAAAAACACATTGCTGTGAAATCAGAAAGAGATTTGGATCAAAAAGAGATCTACTGCTTTTGGCAGAATATAATTCTATTCTGGACAGGCAGATAAACCACCTATCAACCCTTCCAGTTAAACCAGATGGGACACATGATCAGATGAGATAATTCTACTTTATTGTAAGGCAACATCAAAGGAACCTTGCAAGTCTGAAAGTACAAATCTTCCACTGTGTCTTTTTACCAGCCTAGCCAATTATATGGGTCCTTCCTAAGTTTCTATCTCTGATTGTTAAACAACTCTTGGCTTCTCTTCCTCTTGTCTGATCATTCCTTGGGCAGAATTTTTTCCTGTCATCCCACATACATTTCACACCACAGTAAAATAATACATCATAAAAAGCACCTTTGTCTTTCTGGTTTCAGTTTCAATTTATTTTCCCTAACCCAGACGATTACTGATTGCAGGAGTAGTTGTAGTTATAGTTGTAGCCGCATCATTTCTTGGAGAGGTCATAGACATAGATTTGTGTGGTCCTTGGTGCTCTGCGAGTTTGGCTGTTATCATGTAGGTGTTTCATTACCAAATTAGGTAACATTATCAGTGCTAGACGGGATGGGGTTTGCTCTCATTTTAGATGTTAGTGGCTTGTCCTGTCAATGTTGGTGGAAGTGGTTTTGGTGATTGCTTGATTAGGCTATTGTTCACTGTTAGCTTCTTCACCTAAATTGGTGATACCATGATTGGAATATTGTTTACTTCTTGATTGTTGATGTGTTAATCTCTGCTCATCTTGGTATTGATGCTGATGTATAGGTGTTTGGGTCATTTTGTTTCCTTTTTGGCTTTTTGAATATTGTGTAGATGTTTTTTATCTTTGCCTGTTGATGGCCAATTTAGCTGAATGCTAGGCTTTCAGGAATTCTCTAGCATTTTTGGACTTGATTTGGTCTAGGTCTCCCAATTTCCCAGTTGAAACAATGGTTAAGTCTGTCCATATGCTGTGAAATTAAGGAGTATTAGCTTTCATATTGAGGAGCAACTATCTTCAATTGAAGACACCTGAAATCAGTTTGAGAGATGGGAAAGGAACCGCTGCAAAGCCATACTTCTTATAGAAGGTGACAAGCAACAGGAAGAAAGTAGAACCAATTAACTCATTTTTTTGCAACTCTCTTTACACAAAAGGAAAAAACAGCCCAACCTATCAAAAACAGCACCAGAAAAAACAGATTAGGAATGAAAGTTAAAATAGGGGGGGAAATGGGAAGTGAGCATCTGTCTACCCTAGATGAGTTCAAATCACCAGGACCAGATGGATTACATCCCAAAGTTCTGAAGTGGCAGACGAGAACTCAGAACCACTGAACTATATCTTTCAAAGATCCTGGAACACCGGGGAACTGCCAGAGGACTGGAAAAGAGCTGATATAGTTCCCATCTTCAAAAAGGGAAAAAAATAGATCCAAGAAACTACAGACCTAACAGCCTGCCCTCAATACCAGGGAAGATTCTGGAAAAGATAAAAAGCACTCATCAAATTTGCAGATGACACAAAACTAGCAGGAATAGCCAACACTCCGGAAGATAGGCTTATGATACAGAAGGATTGGATTGGATTGGATTTATTAGATTTCTATGCCGCCCTTTTCCCCAAAGGGGACTCAGGGCGGCTCACAACTCAAGTCAAGGGGGGGGATACAAATAAGGAATAAAAAGACGAACAAGACAATACCATAATTTAAAAAGCACACAGCAACCATACCATTCGAGAGGGGGACAAAAGCTCAATTAGCCCCAGGTCTGTCGGAACAGCCAGGTTTTAAGGGCTTTGCGGAAGGCCTGGAG